GAACGGCTTCACGCCGGATGGCAAGCTGCATTGCCGGAGGTTCAGCAACCAATCCGGGTACCACAAACGTTACCGTGGGATATAAACGACGATGGTATTGTCAATATCCAAGACCTTGTCCTTGTCTCAAACAGTTTCGGTGTAGAGATTCCAGAACATCTGAAAGTTGATGTGAACAAGGATGGTCGTGTTGATATCATTGACTTGCTTCTCGTTGCCGCACATTTCGGTGAATCCAGTACTCCTGATGCCCCACCAACACACGCCAATATTAACACGGCGCATTTTGACTTGGTGGAACAATGGGTCGCTGAGGCACATCTCGCAAATGATGGTTCTCTTGCTTTTCAGCAAGGCATTGCTGCTTTAGAACGCCTAATGAATACGGCGATCCCCATGGAAACGGTGCTTCTGTCGAACTATCCGAATCCATTTAATCCTGAGACGTGGATACCTTACGATTTGGCTGAAGGTTCGGATGTCGAGATCCACATCTATAACGTGAAAGGTGAATCTGTCCGCCGGTTATCGCTGGGTTTTCAAGGTGCTGGCACCTATCGGAGTCGGTCTCGTGCGGCGTATTGGGATGGTCGTAATGCTGTGGGTGAACCTGTGGCAAGTGGAGTCTACTTTTATACGCTCCATGCGGGACAAATGAAAGCCACACGCCAAATGGCGATCTTGAAATAGATAGGTCCTGCACGCCGCTGGCGAGGTTTTCTGGGGGAAACACCCAAGCACAAACACCTCGCCTACACGGTACAAATCCACAAATCCGTCGCGAATCGACCAAAAACCGACTTGGAATGAAATGGAAAGCCGCTCGGAGGTCCACAATTTAAAAAATGATTTTACGTAGACTGCTAATTATCTGTATTTCAGTGTTAGCCTTAATTTCCACAACGGCAGGGGCTGCCTCGCTCATCAATGTTCCACTCAATCCGGACTTGTCTGACTTTAATCGTGAAACCTATCGTTTTGTTCATCGTTTACTTAATAAGCGGGTTTTGTCCGGCATACGGCGCGGTTCGTTACCACTCACCCGTAAACAGGTTGTGTCTTATCTGTTAGAGGTGGATCGGAAACAGAAGAACGGCGAAATAGCGTTGAGTGCCATCGACCAAGAACGACTAAACACCCTATTGACTTTATACCGCGAAGTTCGTGCCCCTATAACACAAGGTCCGAAACAGGTTATAGAAAATGTAGGAGGGGTTTCCAACCCCGATTCCGAAACTCAAAGCCCTGCCGGCAGACGATTGCACCTAATGACGATGGCGGGCAAAGACTATCGTTTTTCTTTCGACTTGAGAGCTTCACAACGTGTTATCGCTCATCTTGTCGATAATCTGTCGGTAGGGACTGGGTCATCCAGCCCCTACGAAGGAAACATGCATGTTACCACCTTCTATCCACATCTCTATGGACAGGTGGGGGAGACGTTCGCCTTTACGACCGATATAGCACATAGGTTCGTCTACGGTGAATTTTTTGATGATTTCTTTCCTGACGAGGCGAAACGAAAATTAGGCAATTGGAGGGTGGACTCAAAAATCGAACTGCCATTAACGCCTATCTGAAGTTTGACTTGCCGTGGTTTGAGCTGCAGCTTGGACAAGATACACTTCAGTGGGGACCTGGCTATCATGACAGCCTGTTAGTCTCCAAAAACCCGCTCGCCATGGACATGATTAAGCTCCAAGCCACCTATGAACCCGCTACCTTCACAGCGTTCACCGGTATACTGGAGGATATGTCAGCGGAGATCAATGATAAGTATATTTCAGGACATAGGGTTGAGGGGTATTTCTGGGATAGGTTCGGCTTGGGTCTCTCTGAAGTCGTTGTCTACGGCAACCGTTTTGAGCCCGGGTATCTGAACCCAGTCAATATCTACCTGATTAACGAGCAACCGATTTCACGAGCAGATGGGCGCGTCCCTGGCAGTGGGGACAACATCCTTATGAGTGTTGATATGCGGCTTCGCCTTATGGACGATTTTGAAATTTATGGCGAACTGATGGTTGATGATGGGAACCCTGCCGCGAATTTTAAGCATTGGGATACGAAGTTTGGTATCCTCGCCGGTATATATCTAACAGACCCTTTTGGCATCGCAGATACTGACTTCCATGCCGAATACGCCTTTATAAACCAGTACGCATATACGCACGTAAACCCTGTGAATGTCTACAAACACTTTACCACACCTATTGGACATCAGATCGGTTCTGATGCTGACAATCTATGGGTAGAACTACGTCGCCGGTGGACAGATAGGCTTGAAACGACTTTCGGTTACGAATTAGAACGCCACGGGTCCGGTGATATTGACAAGCAACATCCCGCTGATGCCCCAAAAGATGATGTTTGGACACCGTTATCTGGCATCACGGAAAGTGAGCATCGTCTCTCGATCGGTGCTAACTGGGTTGTTATTGGACATTATTCCGTGTATGCAGAGTGGGCACGCGTCTGGAGACGGAACTTGGGAAATCGTAGAGATGTCCGCGAAAATTCAAATGAAATTGAAGCCAAATTCCTCTACCGGTTTCCGTAATAAAAAACTGAAGATTTGTACCATTCCAATCATCAAAGGGTACAAAGCATTGCCTGTGGGTTGCCGATCGTAAAAACAAATTGGACTTTCGCGCCTAAAATGAGTATAATATATATGTAAAACCCAATCTAAAACAGAGACAGACTGTGCTTTAATAGCACAATTTGATCTTTTTAATTTATCTTGCGGTCGGCCAGAGTGTTCTCAAAAAGAAGTTTTTCTGTCGTGTCCGTCCATCGCGATGTTTGGACTACAATTTTTAGCCAAAGTGCATAGCTTGAAACGAAGTGGAAAGCGGATATACGGGATAGAACATGGATTCACAGACTCACCTCTCCGAACCGCAAGGAAAACTAGAAAAATGAGGATTAGGGTGTTGGGCATACGCGGGCTCCCCGCTACCTACAGTGGACTTGAGACTATCATGGGTGAACTCGCCCCTCGCTGGGTAGAAGCGGGTCATGAAGTTATCGTCTACTGCCGGAAGGCACTTTTCAAGGAGAGGCCTGCGGAATGGGAGGGCATCAAGCTCGTTTATTTGCCAAGCATAGAGCATAAGATGTTCAGTACCCTGAGCCACAGTTTTCTCGCAACGATGCACGCTTCGGTTACCGCATCTGATGTCATTTTGACATGGAACGCCGGCAATGGTCCGTTCGGATGGTTCTTCCGTATCGCGGGTAAAACCGCTGTTATCAACGTTGATGGTATGGAATGGCTCCGCCCAAAATGGAAAGGGCTTGGCGCACTTTACTTCAAGTGGGCGGCAAAGATGGCGACGGCTGCGTTTCCAATTGTTATTACCGATGCTTCTGAAATGAAGCGGCTCTATCTTGAGGAATTAGGGGCAGAAACTACCTATATCGCTTATGGTGCGAACATTGAGCCGTCGGAACATCCAGAAATTTTGGAGACCTATAGGCTTGAACCCGGAATTATTATCTTATTGCCAGTCGGCTCGTTCCAGATAACAATGCAGACCTCATTTTAGAGGCGTTCGTTGCCTCAAAGAGTCAAAAGCAACTCGCTATAGCTGGGGGAGCTGATTACAAAGGCAACAAACTTGAGAACGAATTTCTATCGAAGTTAAAAAGCATTGCTAACGAGAACGTCAAGTTTCTCGGACATATTAACGATTCTGAACATATTAAAGAACTTCACCATAACTGCTTTGCCTACGTCCATGGACACCAGTTCGGTGGCATTAATCCTTCTATTCTAAAGGCGTTAGGGTATTCCAACTGCATTCTTGCACTCAATACGCCCTTCAACGATGAAGTGCTGGAAGGTGGGCGTTATGGGGTGCTCTTTGACAAAAACGTCGCGTCGCTCACGGAAAAAATTCAGATGTTGGAACAACATCCCGAACAGGTTGAAGATTTCCGGCAGCGCGCACCGGAACAGATCCGAAAGCAATTCAATTGGGAAAACATAGCACAGCAATATCTTGATGTTTTTGAAAAGCTCCAGCAGAACTAACTTTTATCGGTTGTAAGTGCCCTGAAAATTTCGTCAGAGCAGTGCTATGCAAGTGAGTATAACCTCGCAAACCTGCGCCTAAAATCTGGGATGAGCCAAAGCATGTAGCCCGTAACGTAGTGGAGGGCGGTTCTTGAGGAAGGCGCGTCAAGTCCCAAACTTCTGTGAGTTAACCGCAAGGAAAAATTAAAAATTGCGATAGAGGACTTAACCATGCCATTCCTATCAAGAAGCATAGACCAGATAGGAAAAAATGCAAGCGGAACTGGCTTGCATTGCCATGAAACTATACCAAAGACAGGGACTCTTGTGGAACGACTCTCCTCTTTCTACGCAACGCGTGGCAAACATTTGTTTGATGCTATCGCTGCATTTCTCCTTATCATTATCTTTGCCCCACTGATGGGGCTGATTGCCATTCTAATTAGGCTCACCTCACGCGGTGCCGTCTTTTTCTCACACAAGCGAGTTGGGTTAAACAACGAACTATTTGTTATCCACAAGTTTCGGAGTCTCCATGCGGATACCCCGTCCTATTCCGAGAAATCTGGTGCAATAGACGACAAACGCATTACACCGGTCGGCAGATGGCTCCGTAAAACGAGTTTAGATGAGTTGCCCCAACTTTTCAATGTGCTAAAAGGCGAAATGAGTTTGGTGGGTCCGCGTCCAGAAATGCCATTTCTTGCTGAGCATTATGAGCCGTGGGAAAATCAACGCCATCTCGTCCGTCCCGGGATGACAGGCCTCTGGCAGTTAAGTCCGCGCCGACAAGGCACAATCCGAGACGGCATCTCTGTTGACTTGGAGTACATTGAGAATCTATCTTTCTGGAACGACTTTAAAATACTCCTCCGAACTTTCAAAGTCTTTTGGGATAATAACACCTATTAACGCAATCATTTTTTTTAATTATTAGGGTTCTGTCCTGCTCTCCACTAAGTTCCGAGCAGGTTTCCGATCCTCCTGTACATCCTTCTTAAAACCAAACCCCAAGCATGGAACGAAGTGGAATGCGACTCTTTAGAGAAGGCATGTCAAAGTTCTATTACCCGCCATTTAACCGCAAGGAACATTTAAAAAATGAAAATAACGTTTGAAGGCCTCGGTAGAATTCTGCGATGTAGTTTTCAACTGAAATGCCCAAAGTGTGGTGAAGGCGCGCTGTTTCAAACCTATTTCAAGATGTTTACCCACTGCGCAGTGTGTGATTTGAAGTTTGAACGAGAATCCGGTTACTTTATCGGTGCGATGTACCTCAATTACGGCGCGACAGTTCTCATCGCTTTTCCAAGCTATTTCCTATTTGAGAAGTTTATTTCTATTCCTTTCTACGTTAATTTAAGTGTGTGGGCACTGTTTTCCGCTATCTTTCCCGTTCTCTTCTACCGTTATTCAAAAAGTTTGTGGTTGAGCTTTGACTATATCTTTTCGTCTTAGGACCGCTGGGTGGAAATTCTTAAAGTCCCCTAACTTCTACTGATGTCGTTCAAATTTATTGAAGATCCGATTTTTTGACCCTCAACTCGTCTTCTACATTTTTAAAGGCGCGAGTTGATGATCAAAACGGAAAAATCGGGGCGAAAACCCAATCGTTAAAAAATTATCTTGTGAAAATCTGACCGCGAGTGTAAGAACCTGCATCAGATGCAAGGAACGTGAGTATCCGTGCGACACCTGCTGGATCACCGAGTGAATTCCGAGCATTAGCAACCGCTACGTCTGGATCTTGTCCATCCCGCTTCGCCGATTCTGCGATCTGTCCGAGTTTGAGTGGGGTTGCAAGTCCGCCAGGGCAGATAGTATGCATACGGATATTCATTGACGCAACCTGATTTTCTACCGTCATTACAAGCCCATTGACGCCACCCTTGCTGGAAGCGTAAGCAATCGAGGAACTTCCGCCGCGAACGCCTGCTCCGGAAGCGATACACAGGATAACACCGCCACCTCTTTTCATTATTGGGACAGCATGTTTGAGAGCGAAAAAAGTGCCTTTGAGGTTCACATCGATAACTGAATCAAAAGTTGCGGCTTCAAAATCATCGATGCGGACACTCGGTCCACGCAGAACACCTGCGGAAGTTACCAAGATGTCAATCCCACCGTATTCCGTATCAGCAGTTCCCATCAAATCCGATACTTCGGTTTCGACAGTGACATCAGTACGTTGAAACTTGGCAATCCCACCTGTCTCAACAATTGTATTGAGTGTGTTTTGAGCGTCTTCTTCATTGATGTCGCCGAAGACGACTTTCGCTCCTGCTTTAGCATATTCAATCGCGGTTGCTGCACCAATACCTGTAGATGCACCAGTAATCACAGCCACCTTATCGTTAAGTCGAATATCCATATTCTATCTCCTTGGAAATAGTAAAAATAATCTCTGAATCGCTACGACGTATCAATTTGTCTTAATTTCCTTGCGTTCAGTAGTGAAGATTATAGGTGAGATGTGTTGATAGGGCAAGTTTTTTGTCTTGACACAAGGGGAGGCGGAAGTAGAACTTGTGGTATTAGATAGGAGATCGCCGCTCGGACATCTAACTTTTAAACTGAAAACGGTAAGGGATACGGAGACGCTGACTAACAACTGCTTTACCCCGTTTCGCTGGCACGAATCGGGACGCTTTAAGTGCCGTAATTGCCGCTTCTTCACACCCTAACCCACTTATCTCAATCACCTTGACAACTTTGATGTTTCTCGCCATACCATCTGTACCGATTGTTGCTTCAAGCACAACGAGTCCCTCTTTGTGAGAAAGGCGAGCAGATTCGGGGTATATCGGATCGACTTTGCGGAAGAACCGGGCATCTTGTGTTGGTTCGTCCTGAGGTGCCGAAACTGATGGAAGTTCGGAGGCTTCAGCACTCGCAATAACAGTTGGTGTCAATGTCCACTCTGGACGTGGTATCCGTTTGCGGGTCAGACGTATCGGCTGTGAACCACGACCTGGTGCCCGAAGAGGTAAGCTACGCTGAAGTGGTTTCACGCCGTCTATTCCAATTTCTGTCGGGGTTGTCTGATGAACAGTCGAAACCGAGAGCGCATCAATGACGAGTTGTGTCTGGTTTTGTGGTGTGTGGGCGACTTCTGAAATCGTCCGAATACGCTGTGGCTGTGAGCGAATGAAATCTGGCTGTGTTAATGCTGGCACTTTGAGGCGACGTGGCTCGAGCATAGGTTTTGTCTCTGGGAACGAGACAAATTCAGCAACAATCGCATCGCCATGTTTATCTACTGCCCCGACGATGGATAGAGCTGCAATCGCAACGGCTATCAAGTGAACGCAGATAGATAAAGATACAGACTTGTTCAGAAATTGGATAGACCTGTTCATAATTTAAACACCTATTTACTGACTTCGTATCGGTGAGTTACGCTCAGCACAGTGGTGGTGTATACTTTACGACTTCGTTTCTGCAAACGGAGCGAGTGTTTACGCTAAATGTAGCAAAATCCATGCCAATCTTCGCTAATTTGTAAAGGGGACGAAAAAACTTGCAATTTTCCCAATATTTGTTGTAAAATTCTATGTAGTAGTGTTGTGTAAAAACCAAACACACCCGACAACAACCAAGTCGGGGAAACCACTGCGGTGGGTTCATACGCGAGTGAGACGAACCTAGACACTGTGAGGACACTCGGAGGTAAAAGAAGCGTTAGTGTTTCGACACTAACTTTGTAGGTTCCACCAATCATTTTGGTGATTGCAGACCGAGATTTCTATAGATTTTTATAGAAATGCTCAGGTTCAAAGGAACAGGGACAATATCCATGGAAGTGAGAATTGAATACTGCACCGCCTGAAACTACCAACCACGGGCAGCCAGTTTGGCAGATGCCTTGAAAGAGAAATATGGTACGGCGGTTAAAACAGTCGATCTAATCCGCGGTAGTGGTGGGGCTTTTGAAGTCTCCTTGAACGGAACACTGCTCTATTCAAAGTTAGAAACCGGACAGTTTCCGACGACGGAGCAGATAACAACCGCAATAGACGGGGTATAAACAGCGTCTTTGGAATGGCTATCGGCTATCAGCAGTCGGCTATCAGTCATACACCTTGTCGCAAGGGCGTTAACGATATTGCCACAAGACACATGACTGACGGCTGACGGCTGACGGCTGATGGCTGTTTTTAATTATTCCACAGCAATAATTGCGATCTTCCACCGGTCTGCTTGCTGAACGAGCACATCGGCATCCATCACAAAAGTTCGCCGCGCCTCCACTGCTAACACACCTGCTTTAACTTCGTGCAACACCTCAAGCGTTTGCATTCCCACCGTCGGCACATCAATACGAAAGTCGTGGTTCTCGGCGGCTGCTTTCGCAACAACGACTCCCTGCTTTCCCAAGTTTCCACCCCTCTGAATAGTTGCATCTGTCCCTTCAATGGCTTCCATAGCAAGGACAATCTGATTCTTAACGACAACCGTTTGCCCGATATCCATGTTTGCTATCTGGCGGGCGATACTGATACCGAGTTCAATATCTGTCCATTGACTCGCGGTGGGTTGTCGAGTTGTTAAGACACTGGGTTGTGGAAGAAGGTGCTGGAGGTACTGATCTTGAGTGAGGATGGTAAGTCCAGCGGATTCAAGGTAGTTAAGTGCTGCGTTGACGATTACGGAAGGTTTTTCGCGTCGGTTCTGTACGAGGATTTTAATGGTTGTCGTGTCAATTTGAAAGGGGCGAAGGAGGATATTTTTTTCGACTTTCCCGATGATCACAACCTCTTTCACGCCTGAATTGAGAAGTGTTCGGGTGATCTTTTGAATCTGGCCCACCCCATAAGTATGAAGTTCGCATGCGATTCCGGCAAAGCGTTGTGCGTCGGACTTGGTAATTTGGATAATAACGGGTTGTCGTTCATGGGTAACAGCGGCACGTGCTAATAGCGCTGGCAACTCACCTGCGCCTGCAATAATACCCAATTTTTCCACCACTTTCGCTCCCCGTATAGTTTCCCTATAGACATGGAAACCCTCCGCTGGAGAGCTTCATCGGAATTTCCGAATTGCGGTTGGACTTCACCGAAAACCGCCATGAAATGAAATTATGCCTTAAATGGCATAATTTGTCTTTGCTTTACATTTGGAATGGTGCCCAGAGGCAATAAATTAAAAAATGAATAATGAGCCGTTGCCTAAGGATTCTGCAGGCTAACCACTCGGAGTACGGTTCGGTTGACTAAACCCTATGCCGCGTTTGGAAGTTTCTATAAATTTGAGTAAATATTCAACTTCCGGGGTTGGTTCAAGTGTTTCTCTGACTCTGGCGACGGCGTGCTTGAGGGGGACCCCCGAGCGAAACAAAATACGGAACGCCTTCTTTAACGCCGCGAGTGCTTCAGGTGTGAGCTGGGACAAAGGGTTAATCCGTGATGTTCGGATGCCGATGCGGTTGAGGGTCCGAACACGCGCCGGTTGTCCGGCGGAGAGGGCAAAGGGTGGGATATCCTGCACAATCTTTGAGAAACCTCCTGCCATTGCCATCTTGCCTACGCGCACGTATTGGTGCAGTGCCGCATGCGCTCCCAGTCGAACATCGTCTTCAATCACGACATGTCCTGCAAGCGAGACAAAGTTTGCCATGATTATTCTATTGCCGACGATGGTGTCGTGTGCAAGGTTAACCCAATTCATCAGCAGATTATTGTCCCCAACGATAGTTGCTTCCTCTTCAAAAGATGACCTGGAGATGGAGACGTATTCGCGTAGTATATTGCGATTCCCGATTTTCACGTAGCTCCGCCAACCCCCGTACTTTAGGTCTTTGGATTCGTTACCGATGGTAGCACCGAAGTAAATTTTGCATTCTTCGCCGATAGTTGTCCATTTTTCAATCTGAACATGGGGACCGATCACGGTACCGCGCCCTATATGTACATCTTCACCGACAAGACTGTAGGGGCCAATCTTAACCCCCTCGTCCAATGTTGCTTTTGGAGAGATAATAGCCGTAGGGTGAATGTTGGTTTCTAACACAGATGTCCCTCCTGAATCTTGCCATCTTATACAAAAAAGCCTGCCAGTTAACGTTAAAAGGACCGCGATTCAAACAGATGCCAATACGATTGACAATTCCGCTTCTGTAGCGAGTTCGTCTCCTACGTAAACGCGTCCTTCGATGCGTGCAATTCTGCTCCGTAGTTGTGCGACTTCTATTTCCAATCGGAGTTGGTCCCCGGGAATGACAGCGCGTCGGAATGTTGCCCTGTTGATCGAGCGGAAAATAGCCAAGTTCACCTTCCTTACCGATGTCTCGAAGCACAAGCCATGCAGCGAGTTGTGCGAGTGCTTCGATTTGTAACACACCCGGCATCACAGGGCGCGTCGGGAAATGCCCCTCAAAGATTGGTTCGTTATAAGTCACGTTCTTGATACCTACGGCGCGCTTTTTGCTTTCGTATTCAATAACTCTATCGACCATGCACATCGGATGTCGGTGCGGCAGCACTTCATAGATATCCATTACCTCAATCGGTTTTTGAACAGGTGCCTGTTGAAGGTGGCCCGCCTCATCGAGGGCTCGCACAAATTCTGCATGGAACATATGTCCAGTCCGCATCGCGAGAACATGTGCCTTCGGCAAGTGTCCGGCTAAATAGAGATCGCCAATCAAATCAAGGATTTTATGTCGGACAAACTCGTCTTCAAACCGCAGTGATGTACTGGATTCACCTGCGGCATTGATAACAACGACATTATCGTAGCTTGCCCCTTTCCCAATACCGAGTGCTTGTAGTGCTTCAATTTCATCTTTGAAACAGAAACTCCGCGCTGGCGCGATGTCGGAAGCGTATGATTCTGGGGTTATTTTGAATGTCGCTGTTTGTGGTTTCGTTTGCGGGTGCGCGTAAACAAATGTCACCTCTAACGCGTCGGCAGGTAGCAACACGAGCTGCTTATCCCCTGCAGAAAGCGCGAACGGTTCCGTGACCTCAATAAACTTCCGTGGGGCATCTTGTGAGACAAGTCCTACTGCTTGGATATTCTTGACATATGGTGCCGCGCTCCCCTCAAGCCCAGGCGGTTCCGATGCGTCAAGCTCCACCGTCGCGTTGTCAACGCCGAGACCGCCGAGTGCTGAGAGGATGTGTTCGACGCTGCTGACCGTTGTATCACCGTTGCGTAAACTGGTACATCGTGGCAGAATATCTGCCCAATTTTCCTGACATACCTTCACTTCTGGCGCACCAGCCATATCCACTCGTCGGAAGACGATGCCGGAATCTGCGGGTGCTGGTTTCAAGGTTAATGTCACAGGTTCCCCTAACATTAACCCTTTTCCTGTCATTGTTATTTCGTTTTGAATTGTTTGCTGTGAATCAGCTTTTGCCATTCGCTTTTGTCACTTTCTGTTTAGTAGTTATCAGTCGTCGGTTTGCCTCGCAGTGAGAGTTAAGAGGTTTTCTATAACAATCTACCTGTGTCTTGGAGTATTCCAAGAACCGGTGATTGTTACATATCCGCTCTGTAACTGATAACTGATAACCGACGACTATTTAGAGGCACGCCGCATTTTTTGTATCATTCTATTGTGTTCTGAAAGCGTCTTTGAAAAGTGGTGCTTTCCCTCGCCTATCGCCACGAAGTAGAGATAGGCTGTTTTTTCGGGCCGCAGTGCAGCTATAATTGAATCAATACCCGGATTCGCAATGGGACCAGGTGGTAAACCCTTGTATTTATACGTGTTATAAGGCGAATCAACCTGCAGATCGGCTTTCGTTAAGGATCTTTCCGGGTTCCCTAAGGCATAGCACACCGTTGGATCTGCCTGAAGCTTCCACTTTCGTGTAAGCCGGTTATGGAAGACACTTGAAATACGGGGACGTTCCAGTCGAGATTGCGCTTCCTTTTCAATGACAGAAGCAAGCGTTACGATTTCGTGACGGGTACGCCCTAAATTTTGTGCCTCCTCGTCAAATTTTTCCGTCCATTGCTGTTTAAATTCATCAAGCATCATTTCAACAACCTTCTCAGTTGTTGTGCCTTTTGCGAATTTGTACGTATTTGGAAAAAGGTAGCCCTCCACAGTTGTGTCTGTAAGTCCATACCGCTTCAACAAACGCGCGGATTCGGAGGCTTTCCGAAATACCTCGGCTGTGCCGAAACCGCTCATTTCCCAAAGTTCAGCGATGGCGGATGTCGTCAAACCCTCTGGTACTGTCCAGCTAACCAGCGTAACCTGTCCTTTTTCAAATTCATCGAGTAGATTCCACAACGCCATGTTCCGCCGTAACACATAGGTTCCAGCTTGTAGGTGTCTACCAGTCCCTCTATATCGGACAACTAAACGAAAGGCATGTTCGCTGCGTATTAACTTTTGTTCAACCAATCGCTTTGCTATTACGCGTGAACTGCTCCCTGCTGGCACGTCGAAATTAACAACCTCTTCTGACGATGTGGGTGGTAGCGTCAGGGATACCCCAATCAACAAGACAATGAGGCAGAGAGCACCAAGACAGCAGAGCGTCAGTATGCCTATCTTAATTTTTAGTGTTTTCGAGAGAGAGGTATCTTGACGATCTGGTGATTGGACAGATTTACCTTCTACTCCCGGTTCTGTTTGTGCAGACCCCATGTATTTTCATGATAGTTATTAGCGGGAACCCCACGACCCTTTAGCATATCTTGATACAAAAATCAGGAATGCTCTGTGGGTGCTGCAGGATTAATCTCCCGATTGTTGTTCAAATAGTCGTTGAGAATAATGACCGCCGCCACCTCGTCAATAAGTTCTTTCTGTGCATTTGTATCTTTGTTAAGCTCACGCAAAATATCTTCTGCTTCAGCGGTTGTAAAACGTTCATCCTGAAATTCGATCGGAATATCAATTACGTGCTCCAAGCGTTGTGCAAACTTCTGAACTTTCTTTCGCTTGTGCGCCGATAGAGCCATCGAGAGAGATAGGCAAGCCGATGACGACGCGTTCCACCTTGTGGATGGAAACGAGATCCGAGATAGCAATTAAATCAACTTTCCGATTTTTTCGGGTTAGTGTACACAGTGGATGTGCCGCAACACCGAGCGCGTCGCTGAGCGCCACACCAACACGCGTGTCACCAACATCTAATCCGAGTAAAATTGCCATAACCGACCTCTTTTAGTAGTTATCATGCCTCGCAGTGAGAGCAGTTTTCAGTTAAAGAAGGGTCTGAAGAACAAATCACATCTCCCTGGAATATTTGAAACAGGAGTTATCAGTTTACAAGAGTCTTTTGACTAACCACTGATAGCTGGCAACTATTTAGAAACGGCCCGAACGCAAATCGGATGTAGCTTCTAATGACCGCATCTACGTCTTTAGTTGACACGGCACTCAGCCAATTACAGATGTGCCGCAACATATCGTTGCTTATCCTATCCACCATACCGATGAATTTATTCAGCGGAGGAAAACCCGCCTCCTTACCGCTCTTAAAATTTTACACGAAAAATTTTGTAGAGTCAAGAAAAATCTCATGAGCACAAACATTGTGTATAGAAACTTGATAAATTGCCATAACGCTGGTATAATTTTGCTGGGGAAAAACGGAAGAGAGATCGCAAGCGGTGTTGAGAACTGGAGTTGATTCTCTTTTTACATTTAGCGGAAGGAAGATCGCTCACACCCTACTGTATACAGAACAGGAGATCAATGTCTAAACATCAACTTTATTATGGCGATAATCTTGAAATTCTTCAGACGTATGTTCTTGATGAAAGCGTCAACCTGATTTATATTGATCCGCCGTTTAACACGGGGAAACTCCAACAGCGTACGGAAATCCAAGTCAAACAGGATGCTGATGGTGATCGGGTTGGCTTCCAAGGGAGGACATACCGGACCCGCAAAGGCGAAACCACACATTACACCGATAAGTTTGAGAGTTCGGATGCGTATTTGCAGTTTTTGAGACCTCGTTTTGAAGAGGCGTATCGTGTGCTGCATCCGCACGGCAGTTTCTTCCTTCATATTGATTATCGCGAGGTGCATTATTGTAAAGTAATGCTTGATGAGATTTTCGGACGCGAATCTTTTGTCAACGAGATTATCTGGGCTTACGATTACGGAGGGAGGCCCAAGTCGAGGTGGCCCGCGAAACACGATAACATCTTGTGGTATGCCAAAACGCCTGAGCACTACACCTTCAATTTCGATGAAATGGACAGGATTCCGTATATGGCACCCGGGTTAGTAGGAAAAGCGAAGGCGGCACGAGGTAAAACACCAACTGATGTTTGGTGGCACACTATTGTTGCCACCAATGGGGGTGAAAAGACCGGCTATCCGACACAAAAGCCGCTCGGAGTTCTCAATCGTATTGTTAAAGTACATTCATCACCGGGTGATACACTTTTAGATTTTTTTGCTGGCAGCGGCACACTTGGTGAGTCTGCAGCACTGCACAACCGTTCCTCAATTTTAATTGACAACAATATACCGGGAATCAAAATTATTATGGACAGGTTGGCATTTTATGGGGTCGAACTCATCAATGCTGATTATGCAGCATTGTGCCTGCATTAGGTAAAATAGCGGTATCTGATTTTCTCATTCCGTGCCGAAAGCCAGAAATTGTTTCTTTGACTATCTTTTTAAAGACCGATGTTTCTAATAAGAGTGACCACTACATTGTGGTGGTAAGCGCAGAGGAAGGTTGGATTTTCCTGAAGATAGAAGTTTCCGCTTGATTTTCGTCGGCAAACTGGATATAATGAACGATGGAGGCATGGATAATGAAAACACTTAAGAAAATTTCAGAACAGATTCGAGAAAATATAAACCAATTTCTGGAAGCGGTGGACGGTGCCGAATCACTGCTTGATAAAGCCATCGTTGACATGAAAGAGCATCTTGATGAGGCAAAAGATCTGGTAGCGACAGCGATCGCAGAGGAGCAGGGGCTCAAACGCGCCTATCAGGAGGCTGTCGATACAGCGAACATGTGGGGTGAAAAGGCTGACGCTGCTTTACAGAATCGAGACATAGCACGTGCAAGCGAAGCACGGCAACGCAATCGACACTATCTGGATGTCGCAGACGGTTATAAACGCCAAATTGCTGCTCAGAAAGCGGTCGTAACGTCCCTCAAAACAGCACTTCACGAATTTTATCAGCAATTCCAAAGCGCAGCGGGTCACGCTGAAACCCTATCCCACCGTCAGAAGCAAGCGGAGACGCGCGCGGAACTCTATAAATTAATCGCAGCAGCGGAAAATGCGATCTCCACTGCTTTGGCACAGTCTGAACAAAAATTGAAAACGGCGGAAGAAAAAGCAGAAATTTGGGAAGACCGAAATCGCCGCGATGCCGCTGATGTGAAAAAAAATGCAGATGGTTCCAACCTCGACCAGACGCTTGCAGAACTTAAAAGTGATGTCTTAGGTAGTAATCGCAAATAATCTTTTAACTATAGGTGTCGCTGTGATTGCTCCTATCGGAGCTGATCATCGTTCTTCGTTAGGTCTGGGCGTTTTCGCAGAGCAGCACGGTTTCTTAAAAATGATTAAAACCTTAAGTTTGACTAAATATTTCGGTAAATTGTGTGCTGTAGATGCATTGACACTCGAGGTGGAGGCAGGTGAGATATTTGGATTCCTCGGGCCTAATGGGGCAGGGAAGACGACGACAATCAATATGCTGACGGGCTTACTCCGTCCGACATCTGGCACTGCAACGCTTGGCGGGTATGACATTCAGAAGCAGAGTTTACAGGCGAAAGCGATTCTCGGACTGATGCCGGATACGCCTCAACTTTATGAAGCATTGAGCGGTAAACAGTTTGTCCGTATGATAGCGGATTTATATGAAGTGCCACCGGGGCAAGCCGAAAATGAGATGGATCTTCTGCTTGAGCAGCTTGAACTTACCGATGCTGCCGACGATCAGATTAAAGGGTATTCTTACGGCATGCAGAAGAAAATTCTACTCATCTCGGTTCTCGTACATCACCCGCGAATTCTTTTCCTTGATGAACCGACCAGTGGTCTGGATCCGAGGAGCGCGCGCACTGTCAGGGAGATCTTGCGCGAACGCTGTGAGCTGGGCTCTACTGTATTCATGACGACACACATTCTTGAAATTGCCGAACGTATTTGCGATCGAGTCGGTATTATCAGTAAGGGTCAACTTATTGCTGTGGGAACTCTTGCGGAACTGCAGCAGAAGAAGCAGGAATACCACGGACGACCCGTCGATGTCAGTCAGGAACCGACGGAGACACTTGAGGATATTTTTCTCGATCTTACGGCAGATGTCTGAAGAGTGGCTGTCAGCCTGCTTCGCAGTGAGAA